AAATAAATCTGTTAGTCTTTAAGGTGCCACCAGACTCTTTGTTGTTTTTTTAGGAAAAACTTTTTCACTAGGAGGGTGGTGAAGCACTGGAATGGGTTACCTAGGGAGGTGGTGGAGTCTCCTTCTTTGGAGGTTTTTAAGTCCCGGCTTGACAAAGCCCTGGCTGAGATGATTTAGTTGGGGTTGGTCCTGCTTTGAGCAGGGGGTTGGACTAGATACCTCCTGAGGTCCCTTCCAACCCTGATATTCTATGATTCTATGATCAGCTTTATAAAAATGTTCTGTGTGTCTTATGGGCTAGCGTGTGCCGGGCTCAATGGGGGAGCTAAGATGTTTCAAGTAGGAACTAAAATCACCAGTACAAACCCGAGGGAAATAAAGAACGCTCTAGTGTACAGAGTGGCCCCCCCATCCCTGACACAGGGAGAGACATTACTCCCACTCGATCCAGGAACTGACACAAAACTGGGACCAGGGGGCCAGGCCTTGTGGGACGGAGCTGAAGTAGTCTAGGCCTAGCAGAGTTTGCATGTGGCAGATGAAGGACTGCTGGGCAAAACAGACGTGCATTAGCAGCTGTTTATTGTTTTATGCTTTTGTTCTGAATAAACAGCACTTGCTTTCATGAGCGTTGGCTGGTCCCTGGTTAACCCCGGATTGCCGGTGCTGAGCTGAAGTCAGACCTGCTGACAGAATCACCATACATTGCAGGGTTCTGCAGCCGAAGGCCCACACCTAGCAGAAGGGAAGTGCAGGACTCGGCCCAGAGAAAGGTGCTGGCTAGAGACTGGAGTGGGGCACGTGCCCTCAACAAGGCCACAAAGGGCCAGAAGTGCAGATAACTCAGAACGGTGACACGGGGCCATGCTGCACTAGGGAGCACCAGCTCCAATCTGGCTGTTGGGCATAGGTGTGACACTGCCAGGCCAGGTGCCAGCTCATGCCAAGGTCCTCATCTCTTAGCTGGACACTGAGCTATACAGAGCTGGGATCTGTCTGGCTCGCTTGTGGGGTAATAGTGGTAGAACAGGGATCAGCATTACAAGGCTTGTGAGCTGCTGCCTGCGTTAATCTCCCCTGCGCTGTCTGTATTCCATATTGCAATGCATTATTGGAGCGGGTGTATTGTGAGCCTCTGGGACTGTGTGAATCACCGTGCAGGGGAGAGACATTAGTGAGCGAGCTCCTCTTCTACAGAAATTATGTCTCTCCCGAAAGAGGAGACCGGCAGTACCAGACAGGTTAGGGGTGGCTCTTGCAACTGGAAACTCCCTACACCTGGTGTGAGAAACCGTCAGCAAAATGCTGCTCTGCTCCCTGTGACGATGAGTCGTGCGAGTGGACATCTCCCATCAGGTGAGTCCGCAGCTGGCGGGGGGGACCCCAAACCAAGGGAACAAGGCATCTCTGTGCTGCTTGGACTCTGGGGATCAAGGTATTTCTGAGCATAAGCAGGAGATCCCCAGCTGCTTAGCCTGGGTTAGCCTCAAAGGACACACAGAGCTGGCTGATTATAGGAACCTACATCACCTTTTGAAACCTAAGACTGTAAGTCATTTGTGTGTGTCTGTGTTCACTCCGTTTAGCCTTGTAAATAACTCTCATTTCCTTTTCCTACTTAATAAACCCTCAGATGGTTACTATAGGACTGGCTACACACATTGTCTTCAGTGTGAGCCCTAAAGCACAAGTGACCTGGGGTAAGTGACTGGTCCTTTGGGACTGGGATCCTTGCTGTGTTGAATATTGCTGTGATCCTTGATGTAAGAGGCTGCCTGTCGCAGACCTAGGCTCACCTGGTGACGAGACAGACCGGCGCACCAAGGGGACTGCCTATGACGCCGTGTTAAGGCTGGTAAAGTGCCTGAGGAGTTTGCACTAGCTGCAGGAGGTTGGTGAAATCCAAGTTTAGAGCTCACAACCAACATGGGGTTTGTGTCCTGGTTTGTACCCGTCTGCCCTGAGGTTGTTGTTCACGCTTGTGCATCACCGCTGGGAGCATCACACTAGTTTCACAGATGTCATTGGGTCTAAGGCCAGAAGGGACCAGATCACCTATCACAGGCCCTTCATTTTTACCCAGATACCACTATATTAAACCCAAAGATCTGAGTTAGACTCAAGCGTTTTGGCCCTCAGGAAACTGAGCTGTGGCCACAGGCAGCAAACGGGAAAGACCGAGAGGCCACCGGCGGCCCACGCCCCACAGTGGCAGGGAACAGATTAGGGAGAGGTGCCCAGATGATCCCAGCAGGGGAGCCACAGCCCAAGCTGCAGAGGAAGGCGAAACGCCCCGAGGTCCCTAATGGGGTCTGGGCCTTTCCCCTCTAGGGGACACTGGCTCCAATCCAGCCCGAGAGCAGAGGGACCCCGACCCACAGACCGATGGGCTCCGTGCTCCAGTGCACTCCCACCCCCATGGTGGGGCTCTCACATTTGATGCGAAGCTGGGCTGACGTCTGCGACTCCCCCACGCTGAAGGAGATGACCCCAGCGTCCTCCCGCGTCACGTGCACCAGGACCAGCAGGTGGGTTTTGCCGAAGCTCTTCAGCACAGTGCATGGTGTCTCCCGCAGCTCCAGCCCGTTCCGGCTCCAGCGGATTCCCTCCACGGAGTCCCGGGTCTCCACACAGAAGGCAGCATTCTCCCCCTCCATGACGTCCAGCTTCCGCGGGAGCCGCTTCACGATTGCCCCTGGGAGAGTGTCCAGGAACAGCCCAGAGTTACATGTGAGCGGGCAGCTCGGGACCCTGGGGCTGCGGTGCTGGGAGGGACATGGGGAGCCTGGGGCCCGAGGGTGCAGGAGCAGGAAATTCAGCAGCAAGAAAAGGGGGTGTCGGGAATGGGGCTGGCTTGAGGAGAAGAGAGGGGGGCAGGAATGGACAGGCTGGGAGCCGGGGCAGAGCACTATGGGGCAGGTTGGGGCAGGCATTGTTTGGTTGGGGCAGGGACAGGGCAGGGGAAAGGCAGGGCCAGGGAAGGTAACGAGTGACAGGCTGGATGCGAAGTACAGGGTAGCAGGGTCAGGGCAGTGAGAAGCAGGACCAGGCAGGGCAGGGGGTGACAGGCTGGAAGCCAGGGACAGGGCAGGAGAAAGGCAGGACTGGACAGGGAGAGGGCAGCAGGTGGCAGGACCAGGCAGGGCAGGGGGCTGCAGCAGCAAGCGGAACAGGGAAGACGGTCTCCATGCCCATCTACTCAGGCTCCGTGCACCCCGGGCCCGTCCCTCTCACCTCTGACTGAGACCTCAGCAATGCTGCGCCCTTTGTCCTTCATCTCGCAGAGGTAGATGCCGTCGTCGTCAGCGCGGGCGTCACGGATGGTCAGGCGTCGCACCAGGCCCTGCTCCTCAATCACGTACTTGTGGCTTGGCTGCAGCTGCTTGTCCTCCAGGTACCAGGCCGTGGGGATGGTCTCCAGGGGCACTTTGCACTCCAGCACGGCGTCCTCACACTCCTGCACCTCCACATCCTCCAGCTGCAACTGGAACCGCACCCGGTGCTCTGGTGCCGAGCAAGAGAGAGACAGGAACTGGAGAGAGCACGCGGGGCCCAGCCTGGCCGGGGCCACCACCACAGCAAGCCCAGCCCCACAGCAGCTGCTTCAGAGGAAAGCAAGACCCCCATAATGCACCAGCCTGTCCAGTCCCCTGGGCACCCCGCTGAGGAGTCAGCCTGGCCCAGCCCCTGCCCAGAGCTGTCTGTTCCAGGGAGGGGGCAGCCGAAAGCTCTCCATTCCCAGCGGGTTATTTTGAGAGGTGGCAGGCGACACAGTGGGTGGCACTTGGTATGTTCAGCGCTCGGCCCCCTGCTGTCAGCTCTTCATGCTGTCACCAGCCCCCCCGCAGAGACACCGCTGATGCAAACTCCCTGGGCCCCTCTCAGCCTCCAAAGGGCTGGGCCCCCCGGGCAGGCCCCTGCGCACCACCGGCCAGGCCAGGGTGTCTGTGGGGCTTGATTGGCATTACACTTTCCAAGCCCCACGGCAGAGCGACAGACACTGTGCCAGAGGCACGGGGAAGCTCCTTCCATGGAGGCTGGGTAGCCGTCTGCCTGGGCTGGGTTAGACCCAGCCAATCCTGCATCGCGGCGGGGGGCAGCGTACTACCCTTGCGATCCCTTCGAACCCGATAATGCTAAGAGATACAAACCATCCAGGCGTCGTTCAAGAGAGGCCCAAACCAGGTCATCCTGCCAGTGCCTTCATGGTGACTCCCTTGTCACCCAGCACAACGGGGCCCTGAGCCCCACTGTGCACCCAACTGCTCCAGCAACACACATGTAACGGGAGCATACGGACGGGTCTCCACTGGGAAATGAGGTCGGTAGAAATCATCGCTCAGGGGCTGAAAAATCCACACCACTGATCAACACAGTTCTACCGACCGCAGCCCTGGTGTAGACAGCGCTAGGTCGCTGTCAACAGGAGAACCTCTCCCGTCACGTTTTACGTGTCGCCAGCCCCTAGACAAATGGGTGGGGTGAGGGAGGTGTGGCAGAGCGTGTGTCGCTGCCGCACCCTTAAGAGCTGAAAGACGTGGGGTGGGAGCAGATGCAGCCTGCGCCAGGAGGGAGCCAGGGCTGGCTGGGGCCCCCCCGCTGGGCGGACTGGAAGGTCTGACTGTTAGCTGGGCAGTCAAGGTCACTGCAGTTCAATTAACGACTCATGGGATTTGGGAGCCGCAATGAAGGGGAAGCGGCGACGGGGGGATTCCGCGGGACGAGCCAATGTCTCCCAAAGGCCAGCCCTGTGCCATCCAGGGCCGCATGGCACGGAAACACGGTGTTTAATGCCGACCTCGCCTCCCCCTCCCCTGTCCTGCCCGAACCCAATCCTGGACCGGGTCCACAGGGCCCAGCAAGGCCGGGGGCACGAGACCACAGGCCCGCAGCCAGCCCCCGCCGATCACACACTCTCACGCCCCAGAGGCACTAAGCCCCCGCCCCAGCTTTGACTCCTTGGCCTTCACAAGCACAACTGCTCCCAGGCTTCACCGAGGGCCGACATTCAGGGGAGCTCAGTGGGTTCCCCCTGGGTGCTGCATCCGCCTCCCACAGTCTCCCCCTCGCAGCCTCGAGCGCCCTCCCTTGGGGCCCACCAAGGAGTGAGCGCCCCCTGTTCCCGGCTGCATGCCTGGGGGCTCAGCACATGCTGGGCAGGGAGGGAGGGAAACGCTTCCAGCACAAAGAACAGGAGTACTTGTGGCACCTTAGAGTAACAAATTGTTAGTCTCTAAGGTGCCAGAAGTACTCCTGTTCTTTTTGCGGATACAGACTAACACGGCTGCTACTCTGAAATCTGCTTCCAGCACAGACGCTTGGCTCCCAGCCCCCCAGGGCCAAACCCACTCAGCACTTCCATGGGAGATTGTCACTAACAGCTCACAGCCCCGCCCCCAAACACATCACCCCCCTCCCACCCAACCTGGCTCAGTGCCAGAAGGGATACATGGACAGGTGTGATGAAGGGGGAGGATGTTCTTAGTGTTTTGCATGAACCCTGTTTGTGTCTTAGATTCCCTGTGTCCTGCATGTGTAACGAGGGGGTGGCCGGGGGGGTTGTTGCAGGGGACCAGGTGTGACCTCGCCTAGCAGCTGGGACCCCAGACAACGGTCTGGAGATGGGGGACAAAGCGACTGGTGACCAGGAGACCCAGCCCAGCTTGGCAGTCAGCCGGTTCTGGCCAGTGGGAGGACAATGGGCTGGCAAGAGAGGATCCCAGTGACCTGACCAGCCGGTTCCAGCCAGGGGTGGGAACAAAGGAGGGAAGAGAGGAGGCCCAGGTGACCTATTTACCTGGGACTGCAGACAATGGACAGGGGAGGAGCCGTAGGGGGAGATGATTTCGGCTGATCGGCTGGAAGGAGGGGGCGGCTGGACTGGGGAGAGAGGAGCCAGAGCCCCCCCGGAGGCTGGAGAGACCTAGATGTACTGGGCTGAGGGTTGCTAGGCCCAAGGGCCTGGAGAGTTTCCTGTGCTGGGTTCAGACGCTCAATAAACCTCCTGTTTTATGCTGGCTGAGAGTCGCTCTGGACCGTATGGAGCCAAGAGAGAGCACGAGTCCTGTGAGTCCGTGACACCAGGACCCTTCTGTCCTGCTCCCCTGTCGCTCTTCTCACTTGAGCCTCCGAGCCCAGACAGCAGCAGCACCAAGCCGGGGTGAAGGCAGGACAGCCAGAGAGACAGGTCCTGATCCTGGCTGGCCAGAGCAGTCCTAGGTCATCGTGGCATCCCCGCCTATGTCCTAGGGCTGGTGACTGGTGCGAGAGCCTCCCCTTCCCGTGCTCTTTGACACTGGAACCGGAGAACCCCCCCAACCCACCAAACAGCCTTCTGCGTCCCCAAGCCCACCCTTCTGCCTTGCAATGTCCTAACCAGAAATGCCACTGCAATGAAGCAGGAATTGGCTGTAATATTTTCATGAAGCCTATGCGTGCCTCAGTTTCCCCTATGTGCTGCAGTGACCTTGAGCATAGAAAGGCCTGTCGCTCTCTGGGCCGGCTAACACAGGTGTGATGGGCTCCCAGTTGTCTGGGCCCTTAGGTCCCATATCAGTGGAGCTCTGAGAAGACAATGGCAAATCCGACTGCCCAGACATGGACCCCAGCAACCAGCGACCCAGAGAGATCTGGACTCCCCGCCTCTCCCAGCATCCCCCAGCTCGGGATCAAAGGGCTGGGGGAAGGGGGAGGGGAGAGTTAAGTGTGGGCTGCAGGCAGCAATCAGTGCACCTGGCCTGGGACAAGATCAGAGGGACGGGGCGGGGCTTTGGGCGCTGGGCTCCCCAAGGGCTCCCTGTGCTGGGTCCAGGTGACTAATAACCCAGCTGTCGGCCTGCGCTGCCTGCGTGTCCCTGCAGATGCTTGGTGCTGCCCCCCAAGATGGTACAAGTCTCCCTCTGGGTCTGTCTCCGTGGGACTTGCTGCCTGGAGCACATGGGGCCAGCCCCAGGAGACGGTGAAGCCACGTGGCTTCCACTGGAGGAGGTGTGAGACCCCTCGGGGGCCTGGCCCACTGACGGGGCCTCCCAGAACCGGTCCCCATGCTGGGGCCGTGGCCACGATCCTGATCCCACCATTACCACCACCACTTCCTCCAGACCACCACGGCCCACCCTACAGCCCCAGAGCCCTGGCTTCTCTGCAAATTGTCCCACTGGCAAATCAGGATCCCGTTTCCGCTTCCTCCTGATCCAGCCCCCCCAGGTAACCCCAGCCCACCAGGGAACGAGTGTGAGTGGGTCAGGTTTGCCCCTCCATACACCTGGGCTAAAGCCAGTGACCAGCATCAGCCTGCTCTGACCCTCCCCCTTGCCTGCTGTGGGCAAGGCCCCTGTGTCTCTGCACCCCCCCAGGGCCCTACCTCTCACATGGAGCTGCACGGCACTGAGGGTCTGGCCAGCCGTGTTGGAGGCGGTGCAGATGTACAGCCCCTGGTCCCGGGCCTTGCAGTACAGCACTTTCAGGATGAAGTAGCCTTCCCTGTCCTCATAGACCAGGTGCCTCCTGTCTGGCGCAACGACCTTCCCGTCCTTCTTCCACACAATCTCGGGCTTCGGCTTGCCTGTCACGTAGCAGCGGAACTTGGCGTGCTTCCCCTCGCTCACAGCGAACGCCTTGGCTTTGGGTGCGCCGGGAGGCACCTCGCCATTGGGCCGGGCCGGCCAGGGCGCGGAGCGCTGCCCGTGGCAGTGTCTCCTGTCACCGTGCTGATCCGGCTGCTTACTGAAATGGCTCAGGGGCCAGCAGTTCCTGGGGGAGCCCAGGAAGGGGCCGTCTGGTAGCCCACGAGCCATGGGGTTGACCAGGAGCACAGCTGCTGCCAGGGCCTCCCCTGAGCGGTTCCGCGCCCTGCACACATAGACCCCACCATCCGGGGGCCGGGCGCTGAAGATCTTCAGGAAATGCCAGTCTTCCGGCTCCATCCCCACAGAGAAATGGCTGCTCTCAAAGAGATCCGACAGCTGGCGCCCATCCTTCTCCCACTGCAGCACAGGGCTAGGCTGCCCCGAGATCCTGCAGGTGAACATCACATCCTCGCCCCTGCAGACCTGCCAGGACAGAGGCTTGCTCAGAAAAACGGGGGGCATATCCTCAGGGTGTCCCTCCTGCTGCAGCTCCCCCGCCTCCACCTTGAGTGTGGCAGCAGCGTACGTCTCCCCGATGGCGTTCTTGGCCTTGCAGACATACTGCCCGCTGTCCGCTGGGGTCACCTGGGAAATCGACAGGCTGTACACGCTCCCCTCGGCCTCCACCTGGAAGCGGCCCAGCAGCGCGATCGGGGATTTGTCCTTCTCCCAGATGATGCTGGGGCGTGGGTCACCCGCGATCTGGCACTTCAGGACGGCATCAGCACCACTCTGCACTGTGAAAGTGCGGGGGTAGGCAAGGAACCGGGGGGCCCCCCCAAACACATCCATCTCCGGACTCAGCTGGGGCACTGCAGGGCCCCGCATCAGTGGCTCAGACAGGACAGCAACTGGGCCCAGACACCTGGAGGGACAGACAGACAGACAGCACTAGGAGTCCAACCCCGCTGCAGGAGAAGGCTATGGGGCAAGCAGAGGCATTGCACTGTAGGGACAGAGCCCCTCATGGCACTCCCTCCGGGAACCAGCCTCCCCTCAGCAAGGCCACGGCAAGGTCAGCCCACTGGAGAAGCGGCTCTGGGGCCTGCCTCTTTCAAAGCAGAGCCCCCTGGACCCCTCAGCCCAGGGCCTCGTGGGGCGCAGGCCCCTAGCCAGGCGAAGCAGCTGCCCAGGCCTCTGGGAGCTGGAAGCTCAGAAGAATCTTGTGCCGAGTCCTTTGGCCAGAAGACAGCGGCCACCCGCAGACAGGTGGGCCCTGGACATGTTGAGTCCCCAGCCCCCTGGATTCCACCCCAGCCCCAGTGCATCAGGTTTCCCTGCAGGCCGCCAGCCCAAGCCTATTGTTAGACGGTTATTTCGGTCTCGCTGGGACTCCGCTCACTTCCTGGATCCTCTGATGGCGCGAACACAACCGGTCCACACTGCCGGGGCTCTTAGCCAGCGCCAGCCTCGGGCACAGAGCCAAGCAGCCCTGCGGTGGCTCGGACAGGCCTGGCTGGACGCCCCAGGAGCCTGTGCAATGGTACATACGATCTCTCCCCGTCTCCCAACGGCCCCCTAGATCTCCTGTGCCCTGCGGGTCCCATACCTGGCACCCAGAGGCCCCCCTCTACCCTCCTGGGTCCGCACAGGACTCTGCTGCCCCATGACTTTTCATCACTGCTGAAAGCCAGCTCAGCTGAAAGCCGACATGCAGGCAAATCTGCTGACCCAAGGCTGGCTCAGGGGTGGGGAATGGGACCCAGGCCCCCTCCCCTCTCGGGGACAACAGCTCTGATCTGGCCCCAGGGCAGGGTACTGGCTGGCTCAGGGGTGGGGAATGGGACTCTGGGCCTGTCCCCTTGAGGGCACCAGTCCCAATCCCGC